TCGGTTTGGTTTGCCTCGCCCACCTGGTGGAGGGCTGCTCAAATGGTTCGGTTCAGTTCGGTTTGGTTTGCCTCGCCCACCTGGTGGAGGGCTGCTCAAATGGTTCGGTTCAGTTCGGTTTGGTTTGTCTCGGCGTCTCCTGGTGGAGGGCTGCTAGCAATGGTTCGGTTCGGTTCAGTTTGGGATGGATTCAGCCCCCTCTGCGGAGGATCGGATGGTTCCGAACCCTTCGGTCCAGGGTAGGGTTTCTTAGGTTCTGTCGGGAGCCGCGCACCGTTCAGGCCTCGACTGCGCGCTGTCATGATGCGGGGGCGTGTTATGGGGGCGTCTTGCCTCAGAAGTGAACCAGTGAGACCTTTTTGTGTGGTTCAAGCTGTTTGTGTGAGCACGGGGTTAACGGAAAGCGCATCGGCACGAGGAGTCCATCAAGAATGCAAACTAAGAACTATGCTAGCTGTCCTTTCAATTCAATCACTGTTTGCATGCCCTGCCCATCCAGTCCGTCGTAGATCATCAATCTTGACATGTAGAGTGCACATAAGTGATGCCCCTGGGGAAGTGGCCGTCAGCGTACGAGACGCAAAGTTCAAACGACGACGCACAAGGGGCATCCGTTTGTACTGATGTACAGGTCCGTTCGTCAGTGAATGAAGGCGACACAATCATTGACTTACGGACACTCCTCATCATACTATTGGCCACCCTTCAATGGACCCTAAAGGCGAATCTCATTCCTCACCATCTACCATTCCTGAGACGATTAGATCTCACCAACTGATTCTTCCTTGAAGTCATCACAGCCACGAGGAACAAACTCGTTAATGAGACGCCCTTCGTCAAGGCTACTATACGAAGGAGGTTTGAGTCGATCGGCGTCAGCCTTCTTCTCTTTCGGCCGCCGACCATTCCATCCTTGAAGTCGCTTGAGGAATCGAAGTTGCTCTGTCTTCCAATCCATTCGGTGGAAGATGGGACGAGACCTGGCGGACGGAAACGTCCGAAACACTAGACGTAATGGATGGCGTGCCATGCCGACAACGACAAAGCACACAACCAACCAACAGAATCGAGTAAAGAACTCCAAAGGCGACACTTCGAGAAGCATGGTGAGCAATGAAGACCACCACGACTCTTGCGGTGTCTGCCGATGTGATTGTTTCTTTGCTCCAGGACGCGTAGAAGAAGACGAAGAAGGCGACTCCCCGCCGGCAACAGAAGTCACTCTTTCATCCTGTTTCTTGCGTCCATGCCACTTGCGTGGCCTCCTGATCTTCGACGAAGGAGGAAGAGGCTGTGTCACATCCTCCCTCGGATCATGAAACTCAACAGAATCCTGCTTCGACCTGGGTGGCTGACAATCAGGCCAACGAATCGACGCAGGAATCTTACGCTGGCGCACATGACAACGAGTCTGGACACTCGGATGATACGTGTACGACCAAGTCGGCAACGCAGTAGCCTTCAACTCCGCAACCGGATCGACACGAGATACAAACGCTGTCTCCATCAACTCAAGACGAGCCACACCCGACTCGACTTGCTCGACACTCAACTCTCCCATACCCAACTGCTTACGAAGACGTCTCGCACTTTTATCACGCGCTCTCTGACGCTGACGACGTGTCAACAAGGCCCGACGAGCACACACCCGCGCGTCTCCCTCCGACATTCGCTCAAGGCGACCATCAGGAGTCGAGTCACGTGAGTTGTCCCACTCGCCGCCCTCTGTGTCAGAGACGTGCGAACGCAAACCAGTCAATCCTCTCGCTGGCAGAAAAGACCGATCCAAGTGACGAGTCGGACGACTTCCGGACAACGCCTTGATCGAGCCTTCTGCACACTCATAACGAATCATCGACCCATCATGACGAATCTCTCGAGACACCATGCTCTCAGGTATGGAGTCATTGTTCACCCGATAATACGGATGACCACATGGAGAAAAATTCAGCTGGTACGTAGCACACGGAACACGACGCATCATCACAACCTGCCCTCCCGGTGGAGTGAGGACATGATGCAGCGTCTGCATCACAGGCATGCGGACAGGAGGAGACTCACGGCCCTGAGGACGCTCACGACCTCCGGTCAGCACATCACGATACGTCACATTCCCTTGCACTTTCGCTTTCAGGTCAGTCGGCGCCATCGCATCATGCGCCTGATAACGCACTCGAGGACCCGCAGATGCACTCACTGCAAGGGCATCATCGGTTTCAGACGACGGTACGATGAACGGAACAACCACTTCTCTCTCAGAGTCATTCGGGATTGTCGGGATAACCCCACGCACTTCATAAACATCCATACCATCGGTCGCCAAAACACGACCAGACGGAGACGAAATAAAGCCGTATGCAAAGGAAGCCGGCTAGCCCCAGGCAGAGCAGGATACTCCCACTCCCTGGGGCCAATCAGCTTCCCTGATTGGTCTGAGCATTGGTGTGTGAGTCAGGTTGGTTCGGGCGGCTCATCGGCCCCTGAGACGCGGAGGACTGAAGACCCTGCGCGTTCACGTGAGCCATGAACTGGTCAAATTGTCTCTTGGCAGGCGACTCACATCTGGCAGGCAAATGGTCACCTACGGCATTGCACCACGGGCAGACAACCGGGCAATCACGCTGGAAGTGATCGCCATCACAGTAATGACATTTGGTGAAGCCTCGTGATCCCGGGCGCTGCCCGCCCAGGTCACGATCACGTCGATTCGAGTACCACTGATTGCTCTGTGAACTTGCCGTGTTGTTGCGCATGCGCTCAGGCATCCGAGTCTACCGTGCCGTTTCCACAGCGACCTTGGCAGCCTGATCGGCTGGCAACGTACTCGACAACACAGCGAACACCGAGTGGAACACGTCCTGGTCTATCGTCTCGTCGGCGGGATACGTAGGGTACCCGCCCGACTCCTCGACAACACCATAATCGACGTCGGCGAGAGCGGAGACACGGCCACCTGTCGGGCGACGCGTGTCTGCACTCCCACGTCTCTGAACTAACTCCTTCTGGACGGCCTGTATGGTCTCATTCAACGGTGCGAGAGCGGTGCTGAGGCTCGGCCCTACGGCCTTCACCATCTCTGTCACGACCTCAGCCGAAGCCTTCTCGTCCTTCTTCTCGGCGCGAGTCGGCCCGGAGTCCATGTGGCTCGCGAGAGCCACCTCATCGAGCGACCGAGGAGGCTCACGCGTCTGAGTGCGAGACACCGACACGCCTGACGTCTGCATGCCGGTCACTTGCGGCAACAACTGAGCCGTCGTGTTGCGGAGAGCCAGCAAATCACTCGGATAGCTCGGGCCCACACTCAACGATGCTCTGGTGTCCGGCACCACACCATGAGTGCGCTCCATGTCAATGACCATCCTCTCAGCCGATTCCATGTTGTAGAATGCGTCGGGATTGGGCGCGTTCTGGCCCTGCGCCCTTGCGTAAGTCTGCGCCGAGCGGAGACTTTCCTGCAAGGAGTGCTTCGCCATATGCTACATGGCCTCCGGCAGTAGGCCAATGATCATATCAGCCTTCTGTCTCTGTGTGTATCGGTTCAGGCGCTCAGCCGCTGCGATGCTCTTCTTGAGGATCGACACCAACTCCTGCATGCTAGCATTCGGGTGCTTCTCCAGCAACTGTCTCGGCTCCTTCACAATGGCCTCCTGAGCCAAAGCGAACGAGTCACTGATGCCATACTGCTCGGTGAGCTTCTCGAGAACACGATTGACGACGTTATCGAAATACGCGTCATTCGCCGCTAGACCCTGGATGTCCTGAGCGGGTGGATTCCCTGGAAGGGGGACACGGGCTTGCTCTTGAAAGAACACGCCGTTCGCGTTGCCTTCCAACGCACGCATCAACGCAAAGTACTTGTCGCGGGGCTGCAACCCCTGGACCGCCAACACGGCCCGGTCTGACTTCTTTCGCCAGTTGTCCATCGTGGCACCCTGTCTCTGGACGGGACTGTACTTGCCAGTGAAGTCAACAACTCTCTTGATGCGTCTCTTCTCATCCTGAGGCTGGACGTGCTGCTGCAGAGCAGCATTAATCAACGCCTGGACGCCTTGCTGCTGTTGCTCATCCGACGCCATCTCTTCTGCGTTTGCTTCGTCTGCTTCGTCAAGCGGCTCATCAATGTAAAAATTCTGGGGTTGTGCTGCTTGGACAGGTTGATCCTGATCGATCGGCTGACCGTCAGCTAGAAGACCAGCAGGATCAGCAAGCGGCTATGGCTGCTGCTGCTGTTGCTGCTGTCTTGCGGGTGTACGTTCTGTGCTCGTTGTGCTTGGTGAGCAGCTTGAATCTGCTCAGCTTCGTCTGCTGCAATGAATTGACCGTGCAAACGATACCGATTGACGTTTGGATCAAAGACTGATAGCATGCAAGGCCTTCAGCCCAACATGCACGAACGAATAGGTCCAATACACAATGAACGAAAAGCTCAAAGAGCCCTCATCGGTCTCAATCAAAATATGGCTGGCCGCTGGCGCGACAAGCCTTTCTTAATCAATCGCACTGGATGAGCACAAGCCCAGACAGTCTTGTTATCAATCAGTCGGTCTCGGGCATTCAAAACAAGCAACCTGACACTAACAGACAGACAAAAACGATCGAATTGAAGACATATTTAAGTTCTACAAACCAAAACTTTGCTTCTCTAATTGAAAGGATATATTTTAACAGATATGTTTTTGAACGAATTGAAATATTACATAGAAAACGATGGTAATGATATAATACATTTAGCAATAGTTCTTAACGAAAACGAAGGGCATTATCTATTGCTTACGGAGCAGTATGAATGTGGTGCTGTAATAAACGTAAATCGGAGTGAAAAAGAGAACATACAGAGGAGGAATGTAAGGAAAATCAAAGGAAAAAATTACAGAAAAATCGTTTCAAAAAAGACAAAAACAGAAAAAAAGATTCTGTTAAAGTAATGAACTTAATTGATAAGAAAGAAATTAATTACAAAAAATACATTCTGGCCTTTTGATTTGGAAATTAAGGAAGGCGAAACTCTTTCGTATGATATGAGAAGTAAAAAAAGTGAGATATACGCTTGTGGATTTATGATTGATGGAAAATATGATATGTTTTCAGGTAAAGGTTGTTTTTAGAAATATGTTAACATATCGAAAAATGCGTCGGACAAAATAACAACAGCGTTTAATGGTTGTCGGTTTGATTTTTATTGTTTGATTGAATATTCAGTAAGCAGTGGTGTAAAAGTTGATAATTTACTATTGAACAATGGAAGAACTATGAGTTTTGAATTTGGGGATAATAATAAGGTTTTTGACATGAATTTGTTTTCAAATACATCACTAAAACAAGCTTCTAAGGATTTTGATATGAAAAAGTCAAAGTGGGATTTTGGCTACGAGAAAATCAAGAGTTGGGATGATGTAAGAAAAAGGAAATTTGAATGGGTACCATATTTAAAACACGATGTTGAATCATTAATGAAATCATTTGGTCATCGTGTGTATAATGAATATCAATGTAGTATTACAAAATTCATGACAGGCAGTCAACAGACGTATGATATATGGAGTTCACAATCACTTTTACTTGACTTGGAATTCATTTGCTTACCAACGAAAGAAGATAGTTGAAGCTCTAAATTCAGTAAAAGAGTTTGATAAACAGCAATTTATTAAGAAAAAATGGATAGTTTGCTGGAAAGAATTGAGGACAAAATAAATATAATCAATGATGACAAAACAGATATTCATGTCTCTGTGCGCACACCTGCGCATGCACGTGTCGACATGTCTCTGTGCGTTCACCTGCGCATGCACGCATCGACTTGAAGTGTGTGAATATGACGAATGTCTGTGTGCGCACACCTGCGCATGCACGTGTCGACTTGAAGTGTGAGTAGCGCATGCACGTGTCGATTTGGACTGTGTGCACATACTGAATGTCTGTGTGCGCACACATGCGCATGGACGTTTGGACGTGTCGACTTGGAGTGTGTGTATATGCTGAATGTCTGTGTGCGCACACCTGCGCATGCACGTGTCGACTTGGAGTGTGTGTATATGATGAGTGTGTGTATATGATGAATGTCTGTGTGTGCACACCTGCGCATGCACGTGTCGACTTGGAGTGTGTGCACATACTGAATGTCTGTGTGTGCACACATGCGCATGGACGTTTGGACTTGGAGTGTATGTATATGACGAATGTCTCTGTGCGCACACATGCGCATGCACGTGTCGATTTGGACCATGTGCACACGAATGTCTGTGCGCACACTCGCGCATGCACGTGTCGACTTGGACTGTGTGCACATACTGAATGTCTGTGTGCCCACACCTGCGCATAGACGTTTGGACTTGGAGTGTGTGTATATGACAAATGTCTCTGCGCACACCCGCGCATGCACGTGTCGACTTGGACTATGTGCACACGAATGTCTGTGTGCGCACACTCGCGCATGCACATGTCGACTTGGACTATGTGCACATACTGAATGTCTCTGTGCGCACACATGCGCATGGACGTTTGGACTTGGAGTGTGTGTATATGATGAATGCCTGTGTGCGCACGCCTGCGCCTAGACGTTTGGACTTGGAGTGTGTGTATATGACGAATGTCTGTGTGCGCACACCCGCGCATGCACGTGTCGACTTGGACGTGTTGACAAACCTACGCATGCACGTGTCGATTTGGAGTGTGTGCACATACTGAATGTCTGTGTGTGCACACATGCGCATGCACGTGTTGACTTGGAGTGTGTGCACATACTGAATGTCTGTGTGTGCACACATGCGCATGGAACTCTGGAGTGTATGTATATGACGAATGTCTCTGTGCGCACACATGCGCATGCACGTGTCGATGTATATGACGAATGTCTCTGTGCGCACACATGCGCATGCACGTGTCGATGGAGTGTGTGTATATGACGAATGTCTGTGTGCGCACACCCGCGCATGGACGTGTCGACTTGGAGTGTGTACACATACTGAATGTCTCCGTGTGCACATCCGCGCATGCACGTGTCGACTTGGACTGTGTGCACATACTGAATGTCTGTGTGCGCACACCTGCGCATGGACGTGTCGACTTGGGTACATGATAAATGTCTGTGTGCGCACACCTGCGCATAGACGTTTGGACTTGGAGTGTGTGTATATCGTACGCCTGCGTATGGACGTGTCGACTTGGAGTGTGTGTATATGACGAATGTCTCTGTGCGCACACCCGCGCATGCACATGTCGACTTGGACTATGTGCACATACTGAATGTCTCTGTGCGCACACCCGCGCATGCACGTGTCGACTTGGACTGTGTGCACATACTTAATGTCTGTGTGCGCACACCTGCGCATGGACGTTTGGACTTGGAGTGTATGTGTACGACGAATGTCTGTGTGCGCACACCTGCGCATAGAATGCCTGTGTGCGCACGCCTGCGCATAGACGTTTGAAATTGGAGTGTGTGTATATGACGAATGTCTGTGTGCGCAAAGCTACGCATGGACGTGTCGATTTGGAGTGTGTCTATATGATGATTGTATGTGTGCGCACACCTGTGCATGCACGTGTCGACTTGGAGGGTGTGTATATGATGAATGTCTGTGTGCGCACACCTGCGCATGCACGTGTCGACTTGGAGTGTGTGTATATGAGACATGTGGAGTGTGTGTATATGACGAATGTCTCTGTGTGCGCAAACCTACGCATGGACGTGTCGATTTGGAGTGTGTGTGTGTATATGATGATTGTATGTGTGCGCACACCTGCGCATGCACGTGTCGATTTGGACTGTGTGCACATACTGAATGTCTGTGTGCGCACACCTGCGCATGGACGTTTGGACGTTTGGACTTGGAGTGTGTGTATCTGACGAATGTCTGTGTGCGCACACCTGCGCACGCACGCCCCGACTTGGAGTGGTGTGGACTTGGAGTGTGTTTATATGATGAATGTCTGTGTGCGCACATCTGCGCATAGGCGTTTGGACTTGGAGTGTGTGTATATAATGAAGGCCTCTGTGCGCACGCCTGCGCATGGACGTTTGGACTTGGAGTGTGTGTATATGACGAATGTCTGTGTGCGCACACCCGCGCATGCACATGTCGACTTGGACTATGTGCACATACGAATGTCTGTGTGCGCACACATGGACTATGTGCACATACTGAATGTCTCTGTGCGCACACTTGCGCATGCACGTGTCGACTTGGAGTGTGTGTATATGATGATTGTCTGTGTGCGCACACCTGCGCATGGACGTGTCGGCTTGGACTGTGTGCACATACTGAATGTCTCTGTGCGCACACCCGCGCACACCCGCGCATGCACGTGTCGACTTGGAGTGTGTCTATATGATGATTGTCTGTGTGCGCACACCTGCGCTTGCACATGTCGACTTAGAGTGTGCGTATCGTGTGCGCATGCATGCGTCGACTTGGTGTGTGTGTATCTGACCGATGTCTGTGTGCGCACACCTGCGTATGCACGTGTCGACTTGGAGTGTGTCTATATGATGAATGTCTGTGTTCGCAGGTGTATGAATGTCTGTGTGCGCACACTTGCGCATGCACGTGTCAACTTGGAGTGTGTTTATATGATGAATGACTGTGTGCACATACCTGCGCATGCACGTGTCGACTTAGAGTGTGCGTATCGTGTGCGTATGCACGTGTCGATTTGGAGTGTGTGTATATGATGAATGTCTGTGTGCGCACACCCGCGCATTTACTGTACCTGACACCATCACATACACCATAGAGAAACGAGTCGAAGCTTCACTGCAAACTATCTGCCTTTTAACAGTACCTCACCATCATCGCAATTGAGAGTTTCATTCGTGGCCTCACTTTTCCTTTTAAATCCCTCGCCACACTCTACTAGAGGCATTGATTTGTGCTGAAAACCACTGCCAGTGATCTTCTATCCATCTGGCAACTCGTGCACCTCTCCACAGTTGGCTGCACACGTCGAGCACAACGAAGAGAAGCTAAGAGATAAGCATTGACGCTTTGTTTGCGCCTCCACTATAGCACACTGTCTTGTTGGTCGCCGGATCTCGTGTTGGGAGGGAGGGTTGAGAGGGAGGGAGGGAGGGAGGGAGAGAGGGAGAGACAGGGAGGGACAGGCAGCAAGACCCCAGAGAAAGACCCCCAGCAGCTGCCCACATCGCCCTCAAAGCAGCCTGACCCCAGGTGAGTCCTGAATCGTATAGACATATGCTCTTTCCTGGAGGACTCGCGTGTCGTTGGCGTTACAGGGTTTACGAACTCTACCTTGGTGGTCATGAAGAAGACATTCTGATAGGAGACGTGGTCATCTTGCAGGAAGGTGCGCCTCCTGCTCGTCACGCCTGTCCTTGACTTGCCTGTGTGTGTGTGTGTCCAGTCGATGTCGGAGATCTGCTTGTTTTGAAAGCGAAACCGTCCATCAAGGCGAGCGTTGCGCCCTCTGACCATCCTTGCCCTCCCTCGCGCCCCCTCTTTTGTGCAGGATGCGGAAGACGAGCAGTCAGCGGACTTCGATCAAGCTGCTGATGAAATGTCCCCCGGCGCCATCTCTGACGTCATCAGCGACGTGGCTTCATCCGAAGCAGCCGCTAATGCTGAAAAGAAGTTCTACAACACTGAATTGTGCGACAATTTCAAGAAGGTACTAGACACATAGAGAGACGTCGTACGCAGGCATTCGTCACTGCAGGGGGCATGCAACAAGGGCAGCGACTGTGCATTCGCTCACGGACGTGACGACTTGCGATCACGACTACCCGTGCTGTGCCAGCATTACCAGAAAGGTGAGACATGAAGCCACAGCACGAACTGCTTGGGACGGATCATTCTACATCAATGTCAGGTATATGCAGACATGGGGATAGCTGCCATCGTGCACATTCTCAAGTGGAGCTCACAATGTTGCGGTACGGGACGAGTAAAGGCACAGTACACCGACTTCCTGTTTGACCGTTGAACGCATTGGTGCAGGGCCCCTTCCGATTTGTGCATCCAGTCTCCACCGAAGGGCCAAAAACCTCCCAAGCAACCTTCTCCAAAGATCAAGACACCCCCACCCAAGACACCTGCGCCCAAGACACCTCCATCCCAGAAGACGAAGCCGTGCACTTTTTGGCCCGAAGTACGACGCTGGGAGGACAAGGCGTCTTGCACCTGGCTTCATCATTTTGTCTGTATGTCAGGGAAAGTGTAACAAGGGAGGAGATTGCCGTTTCAAGCACGCCCGTGAAGGGTTCAGCGGCAGTCCCAGATTGTGCGTAAAAATCCAGCCAAATGGTTCGGGATGCAAGTATGGCAGTCGATGCACATTCTCACATTCCGTAGAGGAGCAAGAAATGGCTTTGCGGTAATGGATCACTCTTGTCGCCTGTCCGCCCCTTTTCTGAAGGCGTGCCTGTGTGTTTGTGAAATTCTGCAGACAGCCCATCTCTCCAAACCTGGTCAGTCCTCCAGTGGCTGACAATCAAGGAGATAGCAGGCTGCAGCCCCCTTTAAGCGGTCAACGGTCGACCCCGGCCGGCCCGGCTGACAATCAAGGCAGCAGAAGGTTCGAGCACCAAAAAGCCTTATTCTTGCATTAAACCATGGTGCATTATTTTTGTATTTGGTCATAGTGAGTTGCCAGCTGAGCCTGAGGACTTCAAAGGACAAGCTTACTTGTGCGTTGACGGTGGCAACCTCCAGCATGGGTTCCTCAACGTTAAGCAGCGCTTCATGGGGTCGGATGACTTTTCGTACATGGTCGCCTGCATTCAACGCAAGTGGAAGTACAAGGTGATCCCCTACTATACAGACTACCTCAGCACGGAACCGAGGTGCCTGCGTGACCCAGAAGCCTGCAGAGCTCTCGAACGCTTCCACGATGGTATCAATGAAAAAGCGTACATCACCAAGTTCGAGTAAGCACTTTCCCACTTCCCATGTACACAGCGACATGCGACGCTCTGGTGCAGGTTGAAGTCTGACGGCAGGCAGAGGGGCGCGGACATTGTCATTGCCGACAAGCTCAGAGAGAAAGTGGCTAACGACAGTGTTGGCATCCTCATCCTTGTGTCTGGGGTACCGTGCTGCACACACACCTGTATTCTCTTTGAAAGTATCGTTTGTTCCTGCAGGACGGCGACTTCGAGCCGACATTGTCCGCCATCAGAGACAGGCAGTCGCCCAAGCCTGTGTACTTGGTGGCGTGGAGGCACAGTTTCAAGTATATGCAACGGAAGAATACTCATCCAATGCTGCGACCTCGGCAGCTCAAATACCTCCATGTATCGCTCTTTCCTTTGCAGTATAATATTGAGCAGCAGAGTGATCGAGACGCTTTTCCTTGAGGATGTCTTTCCAGCTCCATCGGCGGCACCTCCTGCTGACGGACCCAGGCCATCTCCTCCTCGCCCTCCAAATGGAGGGCGGGGGCCGGAGGGAGGAGGTCCCAAGGGGCCTTCGAGAGGAGGGGCACGTGATCAGCCAGCACGCAGAGGCGGTGGCTCCAGCGGAGACAGTGACAAGTGATTAGCTGTCGATGTGGCATAGAGCTCTGTGTTTTTTGGCCCTTTCTGTGGCCAGGATCCGTGAGCCCTGTAGAGGTACCAAGTACTTGGGTTTTCTGATACATAGGAGATGCAGAACTTGTAGTTGGATTCGCCGTTTGTCTGAGTTTTTTCTTGATTCAACTGGCCGCGTGGCATTGAGGGTGTTTACCTTTTGGTTTGTCTCCGGGCCTCTCAAGACAGGGCCTAAGAGAAGCATGATCTCTTGATGCAGCCCTCTCTTAGAGGCTCTCTACGGGATGCATTGCGCTGAAAAAGCCGTGGCCTGATAGTTTACCTCGGAAAACGTCGGCGAAAAGGAAACCGGGACGACGAGCGCATCGGAGAAGGCACGCAGAGGTCATACACCAGAAAACAACCCAGAGCTTGCCTTTGTGTGCTACGTGTTGGGGGGACAGCCGACACAGGACGTGTGGTGCGCTTTTTGTGTTTGTGATTGTGTTCCCGCCGTGCCTATGATGTTCTGGTCGCCCGCTACTTCAGAAGGGAGGGATGCGGAGAACTCCTTACAGGTGAATGCAATTGTCAAAGAATGAAACAAATTAACGAAATCAACTTGAAGTGAGTTGTCTCTGAAAGGTATTCAAATCTCCAGTCGCTGCGTGTCCGATGTCGACCGTGAGTATGTCGATGTCGATGCCGTGTGTGAACGTTTGTCGAGAGCCGAAGGCGGAGTCAACGTTAACGGTCAACGGCAAAGTGTCGTATATAACGGTGTAGACAGCAGGAATCGGTCCATCGAAGGTCAAACACGAAACTGCACCACCACCACACACAAACGAAACACCAGCCACACACAGCAAAGGTGAGTGAGGATGGAGAGGTGAGGTGAGTGGGTAGGGTGGTGGTGTATGTGACGTACCGGTGAAGGCGTGTAGGTATGCCCAGTCAGTCACCCAACACGCTACTGAACCGAGAACCAAAACACCCTGAGCCACCACACACACACACGCCCACACAGAGAGAGAGAGAGAGAGAGAGAGGTGAGTGGTGGTGGGTATGTCAGACGGTGTGTGTGCGAATGACATACCACATGAGGTAGGTGTAGTCCCCGCAGGCAGTAACAAACCAACCAAGTGTCACTGTACACGTAGACCTGAATCACCAGAGGCACACAGTAAGTGGTGTGGTGGATGGAACGCATCACGTGTGTCGGTGCGTACCACCAGTAGGCAGTCTGTGTGTCTCAGCCATCCCATACACGTCCACGACCATAGGTAACCACATCACAGCCTGCACACACCATCAGAGGTCACACAAGCCAGAAGTGGGTATGGTCGTGGCCAGTCAGTAGGTGGGATGAAGATCCATACCAATGAGATGTACACGACGTCAGGACAAAGGCAGCCCAATCACATGCCATCATGGACAGACACCGAGAGCACTCTGCAGCCATGTCAACATAGGAGAGCGATGTATGTCCATGTAGGAGTGAGCATGTGGTGTGCGTATGTACCTGTGTCACTGTGCACGATGCCCAGGGCGATGGTGAGCTGTCCGTCATGGTCATGCGAAGGCTGCAAGCTACGAGCTCCGTGTAACCGGTAGCAAATAGCTCGGCCCACTGCACTGAGCCATGGCCAACATCGCACCAATCGCCAACATAACGAAGCGTGGATACAATGGGACCAACCATGATGACATATATGTATAGGCAGCGGCATGTCTGCGCGACATCCGATCCCCGGGCTGGCCGTCTCCTGCCGTCCTGGGGATGCGAATGCCGCACGCCGAGCCGCAATGCGATGGTGAGTAGCTCTCAGCTAGCGACAGATCACCGTGAGAAACGCCCAGGCGGAACCTCTGCAGAGGGGAGCTGGCGAGTGGGAAACCAAAACATCATCCACCGTCCACCGGTTGACGTGGACGCGCCAAACACGAGCCGTCATCTGGGCCAGGATCGCCCGGCGGTGCGCACTCCCGATGGAGTCCTCACCGCTCACGCGAGCCGCTCGGGGGATCCTACGCCACCGGACGAGACGTCCTCAAGGCTCCGATTCAGCACATGGATTCTTCCTCCTCGCGCAGACAGCCCACGTCGATGGATGATGTGTACGGCGCCTTTGGCTGCGACGAGCCATCGCACCTGCAGGAAATATTCGGCACGTTCAATGACAAGGTGCGCCTGCTTGCACTTCGGTGAAGCCGGCATGGCAGATCTGTACATGAATGCGTTCGGCCATGAGTGCATGTGTGCGTATGTGTCTTTGTGGTTGGTGTCCAAAGCCCCACGAGCAGGCAATGGTGGCGTATTGGCAGCGCGGCGTGGAGAGCGTGGTCAAATGCAAGTACGCAGACGACCCTTTAACAATCACGTGCGCCCATCTTTTTGTGTGGCGTGGTGCTTTGCATGGCGCGTGCAGGTCCTCTCTGGCAATATCTGCCAAGCAGCTGGTGCAGCTGTTTAAACAGCACAGAGAGAAGTTCCCCATCGTGCCGCAGGGTAAGCAGACATCTAAGCACATACTTGAGGCAGGGTGCAGATGCGTATGCACACCACCGCCAGGCCTGCCGGCTCTCTTGGCGCGCCTCTGTCGGGATAGGAGCATCGTACCCATGTCAACCGCCTTGCCCGAATCGGTGCCCATACATGCACCACACATTCGTTCATTCATTTATGCGATCGCCATGATTGCGCGCAATACGTGTATGTGCAGCAACCCAAGCACTGGCAGCCGGGAGATGCAGCGCCTCAGCCGTCGCTGATGCGCTCGATCGCTGGTATGTTTGTGGACATCTTTGCACGCAGAGGGGAGGGAGGGAGGGAGGGAGGGAGGGCTGATGTGCGCATCTTCACCAGGTGTGACGAGTCACGTTGTCTTCGGAGGACTTGGCATTATCACCGCTGCTGCTTCATACGTGGTACGCATGGGCACACGTGCGATTGATATCTGCACATATTGTGTGTTGTACATTCTTGCATACCTACAGAGTGGCCATACGAGCCGGGATAGCCGTGTCACGGTGGACGAAAGTGAGCGGATGGTGGTCATCAGTGTGCTTGAGGTATATGCAAGTCGTAATCATGAGTAGCAGAGAGAGATACTGGGCGCGTACTGTCCATTGTGTATGCGTGTATTTGTCGTGTGCGCAGGAGCTTGCTCAGGGGCTCGAAGCAGACCTACTCGCCTCCACGGTAGGCAATGCACCCACCCATCCATACGCACCAAAATATGATGCGCGCGTATGTATTGCGTTGCGTTGTGTTGTGTTGTTGTTGTGTTGTGTTGTGGCGCACAGGACCGTTGCTGCGAGTGGTCGGACTCTCTGCTGACGGACGGCGAGGGCAAAGCCATCCTGCTCTCACGCGACGACATACGCAAGTTCCTCACACACCATGTACGTATCGATGTGTGTATACATGAATGTGTCACACACGAGGGGATGCATGTGTATATGTGTGTGCAGGGAGTGGGCAGCGATCGTCAGAACAGCACGTGCACCATGGCCGAGCATTTGGAGATCTTCGTGTGGTACCTCGTCAAGTACAAGTACGCACCATCGCGAATCGCCGTCCATACGGGAATGAACGAACGAATGAATGCGTATGTTTCCAGGAGCAGCCTTGCTGTGCGTGTCAGTGCTGGACAGGGAGCCGTCATCGATGTGAGCACTTGCAACTTCACAGATGAAAGCACATTTTGTGCACGTCTTCTGTGTGTGGTCAGGCTGTCAAAGTCGCCCTGCACACAAGCTCAGACAAGCACAAAGTGAGCCGACAACGTATGGGCCGTTAAGGAGGGAATTCGGGTGATACGTATTTGCACCTTCGTTCGTGTGCAGGCAGCAACGATGTCGCTGAGTGACCACGGCCGTGCTCTCCTGATCGAGCGATACGTCGAGGACAAACTCAAACAGAGGGAGAAGAAGCTGCTCAACAAGTATCGCCTCACAACGATATGTTATCACATGATCCGCAACGGGGCATATCGCGTGTATATGGTTTCATTGTGGGTGTCAGGTGGACTGAGGTGGACGCCAACTGCCGCAGGCTGCTCAAATACGACAAGCAGCGTACGCAACGCTTCCATATGTGTCTGCTTACATCCATGCGGCACATGCGGCACGTATGAGTGTCATGCAGTGGCCCTGGTCGAGTTGAAGCGTCGCAACATGATCGCAGCGGAACTGACCAAAATCAAAAATCAACTGCTCACCGTACTGTTCCCACACCTCACTCACACACATAAATGATCGCATTCCCGTCCCACATACGTAGCACTCCTGTTGCTGTGTGTGTGTGCAGGTGTCTCAGTGCATGTTGCAGCGTGATGCCGCGGTGTCGCTGAGCACCGTGACGGCCATGCTGGAGACGACCACACAAGCCACTGCAAGCACCATGTGAGTGACTGCGACGTACGTGCAGGTGTCACCACATGTATTCGCCTGTATGTCTATCGGTCTGTTTTTCCACCGTCAGTGACCGCGATCGCGTCATGACTGCCATGGACAACGCTGCAGATGTACAGGTATGGACATTCGTGTCTGTCGGTCGATCTGGACGCGTCTCACCTGTGTCTGCGCATTACGATAGGACGATTTGGCTGAGGTGAGTGCGGCCTTCTCGGCAGGAACCGACGCACGGCTCGCTGCAGCTGGGGTGAGTGAGTCAGAGATGCATGCAGGCACATCGATCGTTCGCATGTGTCCGTGTGGGTGTGTGGGTGTCCTTGTAGGCGACTGACGATGCGCTCGAGTCAGAGTATGCCGATCTGCTCGCCGAGCTATCCATTCAAGACAAACACAAAGACAAGGCCGCGCAAAGGCAGGAAGCGCCAGACAACAAACAGCAGAGGTACGTGCACATGCTCACATACCTACCGTGTGTGTGCGTACTCATGAGCCTGTCTATGTGCTGTTTATGTGTTGAGCAGGGTGGAGCAGCTGTTGAACGACCTGCCGTCGGTGCCGAACGGTCCGCTCCCATCACCAGCAGACAACAGAGAGGCGGGACGTGCGGAGGAGACTGGTGCTCGTGTGGGCCAGTGACACGTTCAGGGCATGGGGCTCTGTACAGTGAGTGTGCTTGCGTGTCAGCGGATACTTGTACGTATGTGTGATACACACGGCATCAGCCAATTCCGCTCTCTCACATCCAAACCGAAGAACGTACGCACGCAACGAACAGTGAATCCATTTGTGTGTCGGCAATCGACGGACGGACGCATGCAAGACAATCACGTATGCTGTGGCAACCAACCTACTGAAGGGAAACAGACAGGGAACAGTACACATCGAAGGCAGTAAGTATCGCCTAAAGCAATCAGTACAGGGCCGATTGCTTTAGACGTTTGATTGGTTTACACATGTTCACACACACAAAAAAGTGTTTGGTTTATCTTAAGCTTCTGCTTGTTTTCTTGCTGGGTTTCTCGCCGCGAATGACTCACCAGAGCCACCCTCCATCACACTGACGCCTCTTTCCCCCGCTCAAAACGGCTCTGAAATGAGGAAAAACCGTCCATTCACTCACTCATTGGATCCGCCTGCGGACGTGGCTGCGAGGCCCTTGGGTGTCTGTTGAGTGTCTGATTCAGCCTCCGGATCCACCAACTAGTGATGCGACCTGAACTATTTTGCAAAGGAGTTCAGGTCGCAGCCCATGGAACTTTTGGCCCACGACGCCAGAAAAGGCATGAACAGCAGACCAGACAGCAAGCACGCCATGAATCGGTCAAAGTTCCTGGCGAAATGATCAACACGAAATGATCATCAAATCGCTCGCGCGATGGGTGGGTGGGTGGATGAGTGGGTGGGTGGGCGGGTGGGCGTGAGGGGAGGGGAGCCGAAGGCAGAGGAGGGAGACTTGCCGATCACATCAGCTCCGCAGAAACGTGTGTTGGGCTGGATGAATGTCATCAGATGTCTCAGATGACTCAACTTACCCTCCTGTGAGTCACCAATGGGCCTTTGCTGCCTCGCAAGCGGGAAGCAACTGCTCTTCCGTTTACATAGTGAGACAAAGCAAACTCACCTTTTCATCACAAATGGCCATCGAGAACGGTTCATCTCAGAACATGGCATCAAAATGTCTGTATTTCTCCATGCATGGCCAGGGGATCACTCTTTCGTCGGTCCGCTCTTTCACAGAGGGGTGCTTCATCGTCTTGCGGTCATTTTTTAGAATTAATGGAAATGATTTGTTTTACGGTGATCGCGCGAGTTGCTTCCTTGTTGTTCTCCCCCCTCTCCTTTTTTCCTTCATCCCCCGCGCGGCACTGAGGACCCGAGGGAAGCCCCAGTCAGTCAAACCATCAATCATGCAGAAATGGAAATTCGTGAGCGGCTAAATGACCCACCCACCATCAAACACTCGCGCTGACGGGGGTATTCGTATGCTGGTCGTAATCTGATCGATGTACACGGCAACGAAATCCTCAACAAACGAGACAAATGCGAAGTACGCGGCGAAGAAGACGACAGAAATGCACTGACTGGTCTGTGTGTCTGTGTCCATTCCCGCAGGGCTGGGACTGGGACGCAGAAATCACGTTCTTTTTGTTGGCTGCAGGATTGGGGAATTTCGGCATCATGAAGGTCATGTATGAGAGCAAACCTGACGTACTGCAGCAAACAGACAAGGTGCTAACACAGCCAAACCATCGTGTGTGCTGCTGGTGATAACGAGATGTATTGATTGTGATGGGATGCAGTATGACTACTCTGCTCTGCACTTCGCTGCCAGGCATGGCTGTCTCGCGGCCGTCAATCAAGTGCTGGAGTGGGATCCAAAACTGATCGATGGACGCACCGATGTAACAGATCACACACGCATCTCTGACGCCTCAGTGTGTCGATTGTGTGTGTGTGTGTGTATTGATCGCAGGCTGGGTACACGCCATTCATGAAGGCTGCCGCGTTTGGTCATGTCAATGTAATGATGGCACTGTATGCTAAAAGGGAGGATAAGCAGGCCCTGCTCACAGGGACAGACAAGGTGCGAGGAGAAGGAGAAGAGAAAGTGCCCCTCTCATGGCCTCATTGCCTTTCCATGTGCGCATGACACACACAGATGGGCAGTACGGCCCTCCATAGTGCTGCGCTGCATGACCACTCTGCCGCTGTGTCTCAGCTGTGAGCGAGACAGATGGATTGACGCCAATATCTGATTCACACTGTCCTTACCCTTGTTGCGCCAATCCCAAAGGCTGGAGTGGGGCGGCGGTGCTCTGCTCGACATCAAAAGCAGACTGGTGAGTGCAGACAGACATTCACATTTTCAGTGGTTGAGTCATGTGCTCATCTCATCTCATGGCAACAGGGAGGGACCCCGTGGGACTTGGCGAAGCACAACCGGAAGATCAGAGACATCATGCAGAAATACGTGAGCGGCCAAGTGACCCACCCACTATACAAAGCAGCTCGCGCCAACGGGGTTATTTACATGCTGGTTGTAGGCAGATGGACGTGTTCGAGGCCGTCAAGGCCAACGACGTGCAGTCCGTTCATCGTCTGATCGATGTGCAGGGCAAGGACATACTCGACTCACAAGACGACGAATTCCCCTGGAAGGTGTGCAATCGTGAAGACGAGAGAAATACACCCAGGTGCACTCAGTGGTCTGTGTGTTCTCATTTATTCCTGCAGCGGACGCCTTTCATCGCGGCTGTACAGTATGGTCACGTCGGCATCATGAAGGTCATGTAGGAGAGCAAACCTGACGTACTTCAGCAAACAGATGGGGTACCAACACAGCCAAACCATCTTGTGGTGTGCCGCCGGTGATGAGATGTGTGCTGGGTGTGATGGAATGCAGTCTGGCGGCACTGCCCTGCACTTTGCAGTCAGGGAGGGCAGTCTTGTTGTCGTCAATCAGCTGCTGGCGTGGGATAGCAAAATGATCGATGCACTCGACGAGCTAACAGAGGACACACATGTGACACCTCAGTGTGCCCCTTGTGTGTGTGTGTGTGTTGATTGCAGTGTGGCTGGACGCCATTCATCTTAGCTGCCGCGTATGGTAACGTCGATGTGATGCAGTTGCTGTTTGCCAAAGGGGGAGGAACAAAGCTTCTCACCAAGCAAGATAACGTTAGCCTGACATGCCAGGGCTCTTATCTGCTCGATTGCCTTCCCATGTGCGCATGACACACAGACCGGCGATACGGCCCTCCATAGGGCTGCACTGAATGACCACTCTGCCGCTGTGTCTCAGCTGTGAGCGAGGCAGACACAAACACATACATGAGCCATTGGGCGCTGATCCTGTTGACTTCTGTGACATTATGTCACTTGATTCAAGACGGACCAAGACACCCGCCACAGGTACAGTCATGTGTCATTGACAAATGACGAAGGGCTAAAGGGCCTTCACTAGTGTCGCGATTGTAGCGACTCACCTTCCCTTTATTTTGAACGTCGAGGGCCCCTCTGTTTTCAAAGGGTGAGTCAGCACGCAACATTTCTCACCACTCCGTCGCAATACCCTTTCACATTACCAACACTTTTTCTGATTTTGCGCCACGGTCGGCAATCGCCCGTATAAAGCAGTGTTTTACAATTTTGAGGCTATTGGATCATGGCACGCCAATACAGACCTCGAGGAGAGCTACTTTCCAATTTGTAGAGCAATGATGGTCGATCCTTGTACAGCTCATGTCAAGTTCTAAGCAGAGGGAGTATATGGATGTTTGGGCGGTGACAGTCATTATTGTATCCTTTCGCCATGTGCCAAAAACAATTCCGTGAGACCAGCCCCGCTTCGGGGCTGTGAGGTGGCTGGCTGGTTCTGTATGTGGTGTGTGTGTGTGTGTGTGTGTTTCTGTGTGTCTATTGTGGTACATGTCTCGAGCTTGTTTGCAGTGTGCGACATGCATATGTTTGCAGTCAATGAGCGTTTGTTCATTGGCTATGCACGGTTGTGTCCCCTCTTGTTTGTTTGATCCGAACTGATGGTTAGACGAACTTCGTCGACCGATCGAACACCAGTTGTCAGTCTTTGGGTTTTCCGTGAGACAGACAGAATTGATCGATGGATGTGAGTGAATTGCCATTCATGCGCATTCGCCATTGATTGATGTCATTTTCCCGCGATGATCGTTCGTGTCTCATTTCATGTGCAGCCGTCTCTTCTTGACTGTCGCAGCCGTCCCTTCTGCTGCCAGTCAGAACCCCTCGAAGGAGGGCTCCAGCGCGCCAAGCGCGTTGTCCAGTGCCATGTGGTCCGACTGCTCGTGATACGCGTCTGTGTGAGCCCACGCAACCAGCTTCGGACTGCCGTTGTCAAATCGCCAAAGGGACACCCGCGCCGGATACCACACATCGCTTGACGTGATCTTCTCAAAAGGGTCCTCTCCAGACTCCGGCATGTCGTCTCTGGTCAGAAACTCCACGTCTACGAAAGTCTGGCAGGCAGACACATGCGACGGTCGCAAACTTCACCAACACACACATTAATTTGCCTTGTCTGGCCGGCCTGCCTGCCTGCCTGTTTGCCTGTCTTTGTGTGCGCTCCCCCCTACCTTAGGGCCGGAGGAAGCAAGCCAGGTGCCTGTTCATATTGGCATACACGACGTTTGGCGAGGGTTTCTTTGCGGCGGAAGTTTTCTGCTAGTGTCGAGCGAAGCTTCGAAGGTACATGGCGTGGGAATGGCCGGCCAGCACGACCTGGGCCTCTGGCTCTTCGCGAATGAACCACTCGTAGTTGCAGTTGACGCCGACCTGATGGGATGCGCATGGATGAGACAATGGTTTACCGGCAATGAATGAGTGTCATCGTGGTTTTTACCATCAGTTCCCGGATCATGTTGGTGCTCATCGGCTTCTGACAGCTCATCCACGAGCCCTTGGCAGCAAAGTCGTCCGCCAGGCTGCTGTACTCCTCCAGGATGTCGTACATGCTGGGCTCCTTGTCGAGAGGCCTGAGAAAAGAGAGAGAGAGAGAGAGAGACAGTGGCCTTGGTGAAACCGACGTCCGCCGCCCCTCCCTCTTGGAGGAGCCAACTCCCAACCCCTATTCTGATCACGTGCCTTTCAGCCGGGTCCATCGCATCCTTGTACGTGAGCTTCTTGAGTTCCTCGTCGCTGTGATGGCTCGGCAGGCCCGCTTGCTTGAGGAGGTTCTCTTTAAGGAGGCGTCGCGTGGCTGCCTTGCTGGTCGTCTGCTTCATGATGTAGTCGCTGATGGTGGGGTCAAGGTGGATGACGTTGAGCATCGCTCGTAACGTCTCCAAGTACACAGCTGGGTAGACGTCCCACTGCATTGACAACGAGCATATACACCAGTGAGACAGACATCACGAGCTTCTGTGTTGCAACTGAATGTCATCAAGTACGGGACGTACGAGGCGTCTCCATCCTTGCTTCCCTTGGGCGGGCGCCACTGCTTTGGCACTGTCTGCTCCCAGACGCCGTTGCGTGCAGATGTCTCGGCAAAGGCCACCTCTGCAACCATGTCTTGAATCAGTGTGCCAAGCGGGGTGGCCTCATCTATCACGTGAGGTTGAAAAAAAAAATCCTCAGCTTCCTTGCGCAAGTCCCCGAAACACCGCCTGAGTGCCGAACAGAGCAGCCTCGATAAGAAGCTCCCCGCCCATAGGTGTTGGCGTGTCTCACTCACTCACTCACTCACTCACTCACCTGTAAGCGGCGTTCCTACAGCCATAGTGATCCAACTTCTGCCGGTGTTTGGGGTTGTCTGCATTGATAAAGTCCCACATGTCTCCGTGAACCAAATCCAGCACCAGGCACCCGCCCCAGACACACACAGACGTCATCAAGGGTTCACACACACACACACACACACACACACACCTGCGGAAAGTCGGCAATCTCATGGTCGCGGTAGAGCACGTCTCCCTTCTCGTGCGGAAAGAGCTTATCGACGAGAGTTTGCGGGATGGTGTCATCGTGATTGCCCTTAAGCAGGTAGAGCGGCACATGGCGGGCGATGCACTGAATCAGGGGAATAAAATCTGACACTTTGGTAATGCCGAAGCCCCGTCTGTAGAGGCCGTCATCGAGAATGTCCTCAGCTTTGAGCATCGTCTCGTTGAAGGGCACATCTGGGGGGCACATACAAAGACCGTCATGGGCTTCCTGTCGTGCATGTGTAGTTGGGGACGTCCAGTCTCTCAGCTGAGTGGGCGGGTCGGCGTGGTCGAATGGTGCATGAGGGAAGAGGGAGGTGGCCGTGGTGAAGAGGGTGGGAAGGCAATACTGCCAGACGCTGAAGTCTAGAATCTTGTCGCCATCAATCGCATCTGTTGGTCTCCCACAGTGACACCCCAGCTGAGTATCTTCCACTGCCGGACCGCCTCCCTCTCATACATGAAGGCCGTCCGATCGCCGAACACGCCGAAGTTGTCGTCATCCAGCACTAGCGGCCTCCTGCCTCTCAGCAAATACAGCATCTCCAGCACAGGTTTCCGTCTGGCCCACTTGCCGCCCCTCTCGAGCATGAACAGCCAGCGGCTGAGCTGTTCAATGAGCATCCTCGTGGCCACCGTGACAGCCACACCCTGGGTGAGCTGAGGGATGGGCACCTCCACCAACACACCGAGGCCGAGTGACGCCACCACAATGGGCAGCAGGCGGGTGAGGATGGGCAGCAGGACGTTAGCCGTGAGGGAGATGGGGCGCACAGGGGAAATGGGCGGCTGGCGGACGGTGTCGATAAGGCGGAAGTAGGCCACCTGTGAGTAGCTTCTCACGTGTTGGGCAATCCTCGGCATCACGGCGCCCAACACATCTCGAAGGCTGGCGCCCTCGTGCTGCTGCTGCTGCTGCTGCTGATTGACAGACGATACACTGAGGGCACCTGCAAGTCAATCAACACACACAGACAGCTGCGTGTCTGCATGATTTTGTATTTCTGCAGTAAAAGTGTTGGTCATGGTTACCATTGGCGGAAGACGCGGCTGATGATACTGGTGGCTCGTCAGTAGAGGCACCAACTCCTTCAGCAGCAGTGCCCGACACCTGCGCGTCCTCAGACAGACACAAAACGAACATGAGATGAATGAATGCGTGACGCCTTGTCACTCTGTGAACATTTGCTTGTCAGTCATGCTGAGACAGACAATCCAGGAACGCCGCACGCCACCAACACGCACACGCACGACACAAACATGCATACATACATACACGTGATTGTGTCCACGCTTCCTCTGGGGTCGCGCGTGGGGCCGAATGAGCCACCGCTCTTCCAGTATATAATTCTGTTGGTTTATTGGCAAGCACACGCACACACAGGTAGGCATACGACATACACACACGTGGGGGTGTTTGTGGGTGGGTGCGTACCTGAGGAAGTTGACGCTTTTGATAGGGTCGCTCAGCTCGACGCTGCGGCTGAAGCCGCTAGTCCTCCACCTAACACATACGTGTATGCGACAAACACCGATGTACAGGTATTATGCGAATGGGCGGACACTTATCCACTTACACGGGTCCACGTTTCATTATATCCACTTACTCAGCCACTCAATCCATCCATCCATCAATCCATCCATTCCTATTCTGCAAAACTCCGTTGAATCTGGAGAAGAGATTTAACAGAGAGGAGCTCCTTGTCGAATGAGGGGTGGTGCAGCTGGGTGAGGTCGAGCGAGGAGGCCGTGAGGTGGGTAAGGAAGTGGTTGTGGCTGTGACACCAAATGGCACGGCAGGGAAGGGCGACAAGGTCTTGTTCTTGAGAGGGAACACATGCTCGTCAACTTTGACATGACGAGACTGAACCACTACCGAATGAGAATGGATGAACACATTGTGCACAATCGAATGTGATGCTTAAAGAAAGAGAGGGGGATGCAAGACTGACCTCTTTCAGTTCTGGGTGGCGAGGAGCTGTCTCTCGCATACGCAGCTGAATGAATGGAGAAGCGCGAGACAGTTCACTTTGTCTGTCCCCCCCCTCTTACGCACCCTGTTTTGTAGGTCCGCGACTCTCGTCTGTTTCTCCTGCAGTGCCTGTCGCATCATGGCCAGCTGCTTCTGCAGCCCCTCGTTGTCATTACGCAACGCCGCCAGCTGCTGTTCCATCGACCGGTACTTGTCATCAGTCGGTCCGCCCCTGCAAATACACACGAACACACGCACACACGCAGACACGCACACACGCACACACACACACACACGCACACACAGCAAAAAAGCATTCGTACGGCATTCATTCCGTTGGATGACGCCTACATCTGTCCAGCGTGTTTCTTGAAGTATTCCAGGTCCTGCAGGGCGGTGGTCAGGTCACGACGGGCAGCGACTGCACAGACAGACAGATGACCAAGTGAGGGGTGGCGTGGGGTCTTGCTTCCTCTCTCACTTGCAGTTCCTTCTGCGGCACCCTTCTCCTGCTGCACCTGCTTCAGCACCTCCTGCACACTCTCCAGCTGCTGGCGAAGGAACTGAGTGGACAGCACACAATAAGGCACACGACACTAGCTCTGGGCGTTTTTATGTGGTCGGTTGATTTGTCACCTCGAGGTGTGCCTCTTGGTTGGCGTATCCCTCTGCCTGCTTCGCCATCATCTGCACAGCCACCATCACCACATACACTCACTGAGATGGTGCTGCGTGTCTCCCCCTACTGCTGCGCGCGATGGCTTACTTTGGTCCTGAGGTCTCCTCCCTCCATCATGTGGCGCTGCAGCTCCTCCTGCGTGAACCTCAGACTGCGATCGGCCGCCCTCAGCTGCTGCTCCATGACACCACGTGCACACCAGAGGAACACATCGACACCTGTCTGTCTGATTGTCTGTCTTTCCATAAGGTGCAGACATGTGCAGTCCATATCCGCCGGTCACCCATGCGCCAGCCGCGTATTCTTTGACAAGCTGCCATGGCCTGAGCTGGCCATTGCATCGACAACAGCGACAGGGATGACAGAGATCGACTTCAATTGTGGCCATGAGCCGTCTGTTTTACATCTCACAGGATTGGTCGCTCATAACACGACACACATACTGACTGCAGGGTGCGTCGCTTAGCCGATCATTACTTCCGTGGCTGCATGGATGCATCCTGCTCTGTCTCTCTCCCTCTTGCCCTCGTGTGCCTCTCATGTGGCATATTCTGTGGCAACAGAAGTTCTCTGCGGTGAATCAATGAGGGAATGAATGCGTGTCATGCCGTCTGTCTGTCTGTCTGTGAGGCTCGCCCGTTCCAACGACACTTGGACAAGAATCGTGTCCAGGCACAGCACAGTCCTCCATGCACACATTAGCTCAGACCTTTGTCTCCAAACAAAGCCTCAGGTGTGTGTGCTTACGAGGGATGTGTGCCCTCCACAGCTCCGTGGCGAACCGGGTCACCTTGTCCGCCCCGCTCTCACTGTTGACTTCTGCCCCGCGGCGCCCTCCTCCAGCTGCGATCCTGCCTGACCTGACGCCTGCACACAGAAAGGCTCACACATGAGTGTCCGCATATATACATTGCAGCTGGCATGGGTACCATGCAATAGATCCGTATTGGGGGTGCGGATGGGGTGGATGGTGCTGCTGGCGGAGCAGACCACCCTTCCGCAGCAGATCAGGCTGAAGTTGAGGCTCTCCAACGCACGCTCAGCTGTACACCCACCCACCCACCCACCCGACCCACTCACCGTCAGCAGGGTCAGCGTAGCCGAGAGAGCGTTGCGTGACCTAGTCGCGACTCATGCGGATGGACGCCACCGCCCCGACGGCGTTGAAGACATCGTATAGGTGCGGCTCGCTCACGTTCTCCGCGAGGTCGCCGACCCAGAGTGATGCGTTGGTCAAGCTGGCACTCGCCTTGTCTCTCGACTCGCGCCGCGAACCCTCGCCTCGGCCTACACGCACATTCATAGAGATACACACAGTTCCGCAAGTGCCTACGTATGCGGGAGACAGCGTCCCTGTGTACCTCCTCATAGCGTCGCTTCCAGTCATCCCTCTCCCTCTTGTATTCATCTCTGTCAGCCTTGTAGTCGTCCCTTTGCCGTCTGATCTCCTCTAGAAGTGCTGCGTCCGCCCTCAGCTGGTCTTCCATCTGCTTCTGCACCACCCCCATAGGAACCACAGTGAGTGCGCGTCGGATAGCGCGTCGTCGTAGGTGCTCATGGTCAGCAGCTCAATCGTTGATTAGGGATCAGTGTGTGCGCGGAATAAGCCGCCGCTGAGTGTGACATACACTGTGTGTGTGCTTGGTGGCTGCATGCCCGTCTGCCCGTGTGTATCCTTTCTCTCACGCCCACCTTCCCGTCACTGCAAACACACACACTCACGCACACACACAGAGGCAACGCATGTGTGACATTCATTCATTCCTGCAATCAATTCGCTTGTTGTCCTGCTGACCTTGCAGCACGCGCTGAGCGCCAGATGACAACTGGTGCAGCTCAACCTGAGCAGCGTGCACAGCAAGCAAGCAAACACACGCATCATGACGAACCTCAGCCAATTGCGATCACATCTGTCAGCATTCTCTGGCTGATTTCTCTGTCTCTGATCATCTTCGCCCCCGCCCCATTTCTCGTTTGGTCAAGCCACCCTCAGCTGTGTCTGATTTCACCACGTGCATCGATCTCCGCTGACTGTCACTGCTGAGTTTCCTCTGCCAAGCTTGCAGCGCTGATGCAGTCGTCTGGCCAGGTGCTTTACGACAAAGGAAGCCTCCATTCGACATCAGCTACTGCATCGCATCTCCTGTGTGCAGAAGCCCCTCACCGACATCATTTGCGTCCCTGTCCGATTGACTGGGAAAGAAAAGATGACAATGAAAAGGGTTAACTGTAGAAGGACCGGACCGGTCAGCCAAAATGGAGGCTCTATCGAATGCCACACAAATGAAAATGATGCTCCACTTTTTCGTCCTCGTCCCCCTTCTTCCTCACCTTCTGAGTATCGCTCGAGAGTAAAGAAGCCGGACACGATAAAGCGCGCGGGATTGTCCACCGCCTTCGCCTGAGCATCTGATACAGCAGGGCACAGTGCCGCGGATGGCACATATGGCTAATGAACAGCGATGATGACCGACGAGGCGGACAGCTCGGATGCCTTGCGCATAGATCTAACACGAACATCTGACAAATCTCTCACAGCGCACACACACCGACACACAAACAGAGGGAAATGTATGTCAGCTGAGGATTTTTCTGCCTGCCTGCGTGTGTGGCCTTCCTGTGAGCCTCTCTGGTGCTGATCTGTGCTGTTTGAACGTCCCCTTTCCCCTTCGCACGTCTAAGCTCGCATCATTTGGCGATCGCTGTGCGTGGAGGCATTTTCCCATTGCAAGTGCGCATGAAGGCTGCTGCCGTGCTCATCTGAACACTAGTGATGCGTGGGGCTTGCGAATTCAGTGAATGCGCGTGTTCAAAACAGCCGCACAGAATGCGCTGAGAGTCCATCGCAGAAGGTGGGCTCTGTGTGCCGCGGCTGGGCGCATGGTGTTGCGTGTGTGAAAAGTGGGTGCATGTGTGTACTTATACGGGGTGGGCAGAGAGACAAACAGGCAGACAGACGGACGGACAATGCATGAGAGATGAGTGACCGATAGCCACCGCAGCGCACCCATGGCGGCCATCGGTCACTCACTCCACCGCACGCACAATGAATAATGGTACGTGAATGTTGGTGTCCAATCGCAGCACTTCATCGATTGAACGCCACACACAGTCGCATGCATGCCATCATACCATGCAGACATACTGAATGAACTCTCTGCCACCCACACGTTACCCCTCGCCTCCTCTACCACCCACCAAACTGTCACCTCTAGCTGCGCAGCTTGGTGATGTAGTGAATACACCAACTCCCTGATAAAAAAGCTCTCATTCCTGTCCTTGCCCAAATACCATAAAAATAAACGACTGTATGCGCCAAAGGCCTTCATATGACCGATCCAGTCATATGAAGCGGCCAAAGCGGCGCATGTCTGTCCACAGCCGTGTGCACATGAAGCCATCGCACACTACCCCCGATCCGACTGTGTTCACGGTTGTGAGCACGGCCACCAGGCTCACAGACGCGTCGATTGCACGTCCTGTATGCGGTTGCGCTCATGTGCGCACAGCAGATCGAGTGCATTGCCCTCGACTGAGAAAAAACGAATACGCCCTCACTCACTCACTCACTGACGGACAGCACGAAAGACACCCGAACCTTGTAGACACTCATCGGCTTCCGAGTATGGACACTCACGCCGACTACGACGCCTGAGCTGATCAATAAAACATCATCCATCAATCAAAGACCGCGGCTGCACCAGATGGAGAGAGACCGCTGCACGTGTTGCAGACGGCCTCGGCCGACACCGACAATGCCACGCTGTCCTTCTCATCACTGCTGAGCCGATGCCACTCGACACGCATGAGGTGGCAGGGGGGCGTCAGGGAGCCGGTGTGGGCGTCCTAACGCTCAGCCGCGATTGGGTCGAGCTGACGAGCGACAATGCCCCACTGATGGGCACGTCATCTGCTGCATCGCCAAGCGTCTCCCCCACGGAGTGAGCGAGGCTTGCGAAGACCTCCGGGATGGCATCCTACACCCAACCAACAACACAAATGAGTACACGGGTGCTCACAGAGAAGATAAAGCATGAGCACCTCTTACTTACTGACCGATGGGCTGCCCTTTTCGATGAGTGTCCGTTTGACCTTGCGGAAGGCCTCATAGAGTTCCCGCCAGCCGCCGTTGTGCTGCTGGTGGTGGTCTGTCGATGCCTTGATGTCGGCCGTCTCTAGATCACTGCCATCGGCGGCCGGTCGCAAGGAAGCCTGGTACAGCTGCTCTCTGCTGACTAGCTCGTCCACTACATGGCACAAGTTGGCCTGCAGGTCGTGCAGTGTGATGCCCGGCGACACATCAGCGCTGAGATGATACACAGACAGACAGACAGATGTACTCAATGGCCATTCATGTGTGGGATGCGGACCTGTCTGCCGGCTGTGTGTCGATGTGAGATGCCCTCGGCTGAGCAACACGCACATCACTGAACGTCTTGTCGGCCTCCGATCGAGTTGACACTGAAGACACTGAAGACATCACCATCACATGACGACACGAATCGATCAAGTAACAATTGTGACCTTCGGTGGAGCATTGGTTCAGAAAGGCGTCCGAGAGGTCGGCAGTCTTCATGTCCCGCAATTTCTGCCCAGCCAAGCAGAGATACATGTAGCCAGAGGGGGTCTTCACTTGTTGTCTCGCTTACGGTGGCACTGCTGTCGTCGGGCTTGGGCAGGTGCACCACCACTTGGTCTCGTGTGCGGCTGCGCATCTCCACTCGCTTTTGCCGTCAAGTCTGCACCAGAAAGGCATGGCTCCACAGAAATTCATGGCTGAACAAAGAAAGCACCAAACACACACACGTAGACAGATCATCTGCTGTGCATAGTGTGCACAGTCGATCTGCTTACAAGTCGCTGGGGACGTGTGTGAGTTTGAGTGCCTCGATGGCGTCCTGCACGGCGGCTGACGTCAGCTGCATGGCGGTGACCACACGATGCACCGGACGGTCGACAGACGGATGGCACCACCCCGATGCATCAGGGGGGCTGTCGGCAGAGAAGGCCGCGCCGGACCAGTCGTAGAAGACCTTTGGCGAGATTCGCCGCTTGTCCTCCTCTCTGCGAATAAGCCAAGACACCAGAGGGCCAGTCACACAACCCGACATCACGCGGGCTGAAACGAAACGATATGAGACAAAGGCAGGCAGACAGACAGAGGCATCATACGAGCTGCAACAAGATGAGAGGACTCACTCGTGCAGACTCTGCCTACCGATGCCCTTCTTCCGATCGGTGAGTGCCGTGTATTTGTAGCCCATTTGCAGCAGCCCAAACCGACAAATCTGCGCCACCAATATGATGTAGTGCGCCAGGTTGGCACCAATAACCGCTACGACCAAGGCGATCGTCACTTGGAAACTCGGCGTCGCTATGACCAGATACTGCATGCCGAACAACGACATGAACCACATCAGCAGCCCTCGCAACTCGGTCCGATTCAGTATGTCCATGCTGCCGCGGTCGAATGGCCACACAGCGAGTTGCAGCGCAAGACACAGAAAGGCGACCGCCATCCAGGCGAGCACTTGCTGGCGCGGCTATGCAGTCGCTAGCTGCGCGATAATCAGAACCAGGACACGCCTCATGGCCAGCACGGCATCCAGTAGAAGAATGGCTTCCGATAGCCCACATAACACAAAGCCCACCCGCTTGCGCATGTTGGGGTTCTGCAGGCTGCCTCTGTGCCGCCACAAAAACGCCACGCCACATACCACAGGGGCGAAGGTCCACAGCAGCAGACCGGCCACGGCGATCCACAGGAAGGGCGCGTGCTCGGTAGACCCGCAGATGATGTGTGAGTCGAGGTCCATCCGGGGCCGCATATCATCCGTCGGGTCGGCAGATAGCAGAGTGGCACTCTCGCCTGTCGCGATAGATATGACATCGTTCACATAGGGATAACCATCGACAGCGCATGAGAGCCAGCATGCTCTTGGTCACGGTGGGATGGATGAACGTGACAATCACAACCACCATGGCGCCGCGGCTGTCGAGCCACTGCCGCCATCGGCCGCTCTTGCGGGGCTCCCCTAAAGAACGCTGGCATGACGGCGGCTTCACCGGCTCGGTTCGCAAGTCCTCCTGGAAGGTGACCGATCGCCGCTGAGGGCCGTGTGCGGCGGCCTTCTCTGTTTTGCCACCAGTCACAGATGAAGGCGCCGAGAGCGCTCGGAGGTAGGTATCGGTGGCGAATGAGGTCGAATTGTCGCTGCCGATGCGCGTCTCCACTTGAAGGCATGACGCGCTCTGTCAAACCCGCTCGCTGCAGCCATGACACGACCATGATGCATCGTCTTGCAGACTGCGTGTGTGTCGTTACCTATCAGGGGCACAGCCATGATTCGGTGGCTCAAATGATGAAGGGGGCGGCACTCTTTGTACTCCACATTTGTGAAGATGACACCGCCGATTCTCCCCGAAGGCTCATCGGGCAGGTCCGAGTCCGGGAATAGAGGGCCTGCAATCGGATCTGCAATTGGACTTGCAATCGGGTCGATGGCGGGCAGTTCCTCACTGGACGATTCGATACAAGTCTGTGAGACCTAAACATAGAAACAAGCATCACAAGGTGCGGTGCTGCAGGTACTTGCAAACGTCTGTACATACCTCAATGAGCATGTTGAACCCCTTTGGAGTCAACAGCACGTGATTGGCTCTCAGCACTGTCGGCCTCTCTTCGTCGACCGATACACTCCATCGACCATCTACCTTTATTCTCTTGTCTTTCTTGTCGCGGCTCAGTGTGAGCTCCTCGCCTCCCATGGTCGGGACAGAGAAGACTTGTCTCTTCCCCGAGATGTCCACTTCACCCTTGACGATGTGGTTCGTGAGAACGACTTGAAGGACCTCTGTCTGATTGCGAAGGAAGTCCAGATTGCCCAGCTGAGAGAAAGCATCGTTCGTCGGAGCAAAGAGCGTCACGGGGCCCTTCACATCTGCGAGCATCTTGGCGATTCCAGCGTCCTGCAAAAGCCCCACAAAAGTGGTCAGGTTGACCTGAAGGAGCACGCAACATAAGGGAGACAAGGAGCGACGAGGCAGTAGGATCTGCGTGGCGCGAGTGTGTGTATGTCTCCCTGACCGGCGGCGAAGCGAACAAATCACTGAGTGAGCGGTCCTCAAACCGAAGCTGGTTGCTTCCGTCTTTCTCCACACATGACCCGAACGAAGCGAGGAGACCCAAAACAAGAAATAAGCTGACCACACTGGGGCGAGAAGACGACATTCTATTCGTGCGGTCTCAAGTCCAACCCATCAGAGAAATGAAATTTTCATCTCCGCAACGCCTCGGCGTTGGCCGCTGCCAATAACAGTCACTGGCACAAGCGTTGAAGAGCAGGAGATAGACAAGTCTCGAAATAAGTCTCTGTCCCATCAACGGTTGATCCGACGCCGCGTGGGCAGAAAACTGGCCCCAGAAAATCTTGACGTGCGTTCGAAGGGGCCAAGATGTCACACATGCCAGTTTTCTGCCTGCCACACATGTCGTGAGACAACAGCCTAACAGCCACACAGCTAACAGGCAAAAACTTCATGACATGCGATGTTGTGAGATGTCGTGTGTATGCATGGATCGGATAGGAGACTTAGTAAAGCACGAGGAACCTTTCTGAATCTTTCTTCTCCTCCCAACTGGAAGTTGTGCACTGGCGTGTTGTCCCCTACCTATGATCACTAACCCATTGGAGCTGGCCTTTTGCAGCCCCCTCCCCCATTTAAGACCTTGACCAAACTGCCCGAGTGAGATCGTCGCCACAAGAGATCTGCACAGGGAGCAGCCCTCCTCAAGAGAGAGGCCAGAAAGTGACGTGTCAAGGCCATCAGAGGGGCGCAAGGACAAGAGAAGCAAAGTGAAGCTGCAGATCCAGAAGCGAAGGAGTGTTCCTGTTCAATCTCGCCTGCCTGTGGTCTTCTGACTCAGGTACTCGGCTGTGTACCTCTCTGCTGTTGCCGCATTTTGTCTCGCGGTGTCTGTGTCCGATGTGCTATGAGTAATAGCACAAAGCTCGAGGCTGCTGGATGAAGTGTTGCTGGTGAGAGAGAGTGGGTGTGTGATTGGGTGTGTGAAGCTTTCTGTTACTGAAGGCTCAAGCTATCTCTGTTCGCACACACAGAGGACTGCTCTTATCGGAGGACTGCTCTTATCACCGAGTGTCCCACGGATTGACACGCACAGACGAATCAACGAATCAACGAGCGAACGTCGTCGAGCGGACGACGAACGACGAATCGACGAACGAACGCACGAGCGGGTTGATGCACACACCTAGCTGGCTGCTCAACTGGTCTTGCCTGTGCCGATGGGAATCAACACAGGAAGGTCGAAACAACGAAAAATGAACGAAACAACTGCTGCACACGGGATGCTGGCAATTGGTGATGAGGTCAAGGTGATTCCCCCGTCCGCCCTGTCTTCTCTCTCTCTAGGGTTCGCTCTGCCTCTTGGAGGCAGCAGGCGCCCCGTTCTTGACTACTGCCGTCGCCAGCTGTCTCGCCACTTTTGCGGTGTCTTCCTCCGCCAGCGATTGCAATGCGTCCGTGGAAAGAGCAGTAGTCGAGGCTGGCCATGCACCTCAGGTGAAAGTGCCGCCTCTCATCGAGTCGGCGGCTCTGTCCTCTCCAGCAATTGGATCTCACAAACCAGAGGCGCAGCTCCTCACGGCCAATGCAATGGCTGCATTGCAATGGCAGCAGTGCGTCGCACAAGTCGGTGCTCGAACGACGACACACATGACACGGAGAGAGGGCAGGTGAACTGAAGATGGGCACACGTGCCTTTCTGTCTGCCTGCGGAACTGCCTCACTTACATTTGCCGTGCTTGCAGTGGTAGCCAGGCCTACACGCAGGTGGGAATTGGAGCTGGCTGGGAGGGCACGTACCTGAAAACAACACAGACACACGCCAACGAACGACACAGTTGGCGGCACACACGTTGATGGATGCGTGTTGCAGTGTGCCCTGTTTGTTCGTTTGGCTGGCTCACATTGGCCTTCTTTCTGTCATCACCGCTCTTGGCGCGGACTTCCGCGCCGCCCAATATTTGCAACACACCACACACAGATATGCGCAAACCAGGAACGCTATGATGGGGATGGCAATAAACAACCCTGACACACCACACAACAGAACAGAAGGGAGGAATTGGGATGACTGACGCCCAGTAAGCTCTGTCTTCATGTTACCCACCGATGTAGTTATCCTTGGCATCGTCGTAGTACTGACACCAAAGGCCTATGCAGTGGCAATAGCTGATGCCTTGATCATTCTTTCTGCAGACGAAGTCGATCATTCTTTCTGCAGACGAAGTCTGACAAGCAGTCGGAGTCCGTCACGCACACCTGGGCCATGCTGGTGGCCACCAGCGGAGCGACGAGGACGAAGAGCGTCAGGCGCGAGAAGAGCGCCATGGATGATGACAGACAATCGAGAGTGGTTGACGCTCTTGGGTGCAGCGAAACAGGCAGGAGATGACAGAGGGAGCGGGTCGGCAGGAGTCGCCGACAAGTCGAAGTGGAAGATCAAAGGCGGGAAGTGAAGATCTGCGGTTGAAGAAGACTGGTGGTGGAAATGGAATCCCTCCCCTGACTCCCTTCCTCCCCTTTTTCCCTCTTTCTCTCTCCCTCCTTCTCGTGTAACGATTTTGGAATGCGAATTCGTCTTGTGAGAAAAGGCCGGTGAGGACCTTTCCTGTAGTTAGCTGAATAGAGGATCTGCTGGGCGGTAAGTCCCAGAGTAAGAGTGCTTTTGATTTAATAAGACCGATGGACTGGCCAATCAGTCAAAGTTGTTTCTGTCCATGTATGGCATCATGAAGGGTGGTCAACACAGATCTCACTTCGGTGATGGCTGATAGGATCGTGTCTCCTCAGAATGCTTTCCTTGTCTTTCCTTGTCTTTTCCTCTCTCCGCCTCTCTCTCTCCGTTACACAGCAATCTACCCTAGCTCACAAGCTCGCAGTGGTTCGTCTTGCCAAGCTGGCAATCCTGACACCCCCTCTCAAGACGAACCATCACGGCGTGTACTCAGGAAAAGAAAATCACGAAGAAAGCACAAAGGCATCCAGAAAATGACCATTGGGTAGCGAACGCGCACACACAGTGGACAAGTGCACAGATCAGCATAAGCATGAGCACGAATGGTGTGGTGTGTGCACAGATGGAACAGTTACAGCATATCACAACACATCCACGATGCCCTTCCTTCTCAAGTGACCACAACACACCAAGTAGGTACACAC